GGGTCCGGGGAGGGGGTCCGGGGGGAGGTAGTCCGAGGGGAGGGTCCGGGGAGAGGGTCGGGGAGGGGGTCCGGGGGGAGGTCTGAGGAGGGGACCCGGGGCGAGGGTCCGGGGAGAGGGTCGGGGAGGGGGTCCGGGGGGAGGTCTGAGGAGGGGACCCGGGGGGAGTGTCCGGGGAGAGGGTCGGGGAGGGGGTCCGGGGGGAGGTCTGAGGAGAGGACCCGGGGCGAGGGTCCGGGGAGAGGCCTGGGGAGGTAGTCCGAGGGGAGGGTCCGGGGGGAGTGCCGGGGAGAGGGTCGGGGAGGGGGTCCGAGGGGAAGGTCCAGGGAGAGGATCGGGGGAGGGGCTCCGGGGGAGGTCTGCGGAGAGGGTCCTGAGGGAGGGTGCGGGGAGGGGGCTCAGGGCCGCGCGGCCGCCCGGAGATCTCGGCCGGAGCCCCTCGTGAGGGCGGGCTCCTCACGCCCCGCTCGCGGTGACGGCGCCAGGGTCGCCGGAAACGGGGCAACGATGAGTCCTCCCTCCTAGAGACCCGCCTCCCCCGAACCCGCCACCGGAACGCAGACGCCCCTCACCCGGAGTCACCCGGAGTCCCGCCAGCCCCCTGGGCCTGCGCGGGAGAGAAGGACGGCGCGTGAGGCCAATGAGAGCCTGCGCGCCCGCCCGCCGTCCAATCGGCGGCTGCGCAGGGCGGGGCCGGGCGGGCGGCGAGCGGGCGGCGGGGTGCGGGCCCTCGCAGAGCCGGAGAGAGCGAGCGGCAGAGCGCGCTGCGGGAGGGGACGCGGGAGGGGACGCGGGAGGCGCCGGGAAGGCCCGCCGAGGCTGCCCAGCCGGAGGCCGCCGGCCCGATGGAGGAGATGGAGGAAGAGCTCAAGTGCCCGGTGTGCGGCTCCTTCTACCGCGAGCCCATCCTGCTGCCCTGCTCGCACAACCTGTGCCAGGCGTGCGCCCGCAACATCCTGGTGCAGACGCCCGAGGCCGAGTCCCCGCGCAGCCGGCGCGCCTCGGGCTCCGGCGCCTCCGACTACGACTACCTGGACCTGGACAAGATGAGCCTCTACAGCGAGGCGGACAGCGGCTACGGCTCCTACGGCGGCTTCGCCAGCGCGCCCACCACGCCGAGCCAGAAGTCCCCCAACGGCGTGCGCGTCTTCCCGCCCGCCGTGCCGCCGCCCGCCGCCCACCTGTCGCCCGCGCTGGCCCCGGTGCCCCGCAACTCGTGCATCACCTGCCCGCAGTGCCACCGCAGCCTGGTGCTGGACGACCGGGGGCTGCGCGGCTTCCCCAAGAACCGCGTGCTGGAGGGCGTCATCGACCGCTACCAGCAGAGCAAGGCCGCGGCGCTCAAGTGCCAGCTCTGCGAGAAGGCGCCCAAGGAGGCCACCGTCATGTGCGAGCAGTGCGACGTCTTCTACTGCGACCCGTGCCGCCTGCGCTGCCACCCGCCGCGCGGGCCGTTGGCCAAGCACCGGCTGGTGCCCCCGGCGCAGGGCCGCGTGAGCCGGCGGCTGAGCCCGCGCAAGGTGTCCACCTGCACGGACCACGAGCTGGAGAACCTCAGCATGTACTGCGTGCAGTGCAAGGTGCCGGTGTGCTACCAGTGCCTGGAGGAGGGCAAGCACTCCAGCCACGAGGTCAAGGCTCTGGGGGCCATGTGGAAGCTGCACAAGGTGAGCTGCGGCCGGTCCGCGCGCTGCGCCCCCGCCGGGCCCGGTCCCCGCCCGCTGCAGTGCGGGGAGCGCGGGGGCG